AGAACTTCAGTTTAGCTTCTTTACCTTCATGAGTCAGAACCCAGAAAAGGTCCCGGCCGCCATTCAGCTCATGTTTTGGAAAGATTTCAGAATAACCATTCGGAGACTGAGCTCCAAATATTTTTTATTTAGATGTGGCAAATAGATAGTTGATTCTCTATGTATTCCCAATACAAATTCTTAGACTGGAAAAAATCGAAATCTAGATAAGTCATTTTTTCTTAAAATAAGTGCATTTGTTCTTGGATTTTGCCAATGAAACAAGACAATTTACACTTAAATAGGAAAACACAATTGGTTTGTCTTATTTTGAGTGCATATTATCTAATTATCTTATTTTAAGAGTAATAACACTCATTCCATTGGCAAATCATATCATTTAACTACTCAAATTAAGGCTAAATACACTTAATTTAAGAAATTTTTACTTATGTCTTGATCGTTTTTCCAGTGTAGTCTTGATGCAACAATAAAAGGTGGTTGCTAACGTCCGTGCCGACCAATATTAATTAATCTTTGCTCGTAACTCCAGAGGAAAGCCCCCTGAAATCTGTAAAACGTAATTATGCAAATTGTAACTCAATCCGAAAGAGATATTTTAGCAAAATTTTAAAATATTTTTTATAAAGTAAGAAAAAAAAAAGCATTTTCTGTTTTTCCATTTAAACATTTTGTTTTCAACAAAAACAGAACAAAGTTTAGGCTAAATTTTGAACAAATCAATACTTTTGCAGGGGAAAGCACTTAGTGAAATACTTTGAAAATAAACAATTTTAACCTCAGAGGTATTGGAGGACAGGACCAGACCTTATTACCTTTGTCTATTTTGATGGTAAAAATTAAGGCCAATGCAATAATAGGAAACAGCAATTGCCCTAATATACTAAGAAAAATCCCAAAGGTGCTTCTATAAGAAATTCATGAAAAACACAGAATGAAATGAACAACTTATTAGTTATAGCATAACCTTAGAGCTTTAATGCTGATACAGGCACTTACATTTATTCCTTTAACTTGTCTTAATAACTTTTTAATTAGCTTTTTAACTTTTGTCTTATTTTTTTTCTCAACTTTACAGCAGGTAATAAATCATTCAAGGGTTCATCTTATTGGTCAAATACCAAAATAACATGTACAGCCATGTAGCAGTATTTTTGCTAAATGGCAGGATATAGATCTTTTGCTTCTAGACCTCACTGAGGGTGAGGGTGTGTGTGGGGTGACTCCATTTGCAAGTGATCAAAAATGGTAACTTGTCCTATAAAGTGTTAAAAAGAAAAATTTATATTGTGGATTTCTAAATGTGCAAACATCTTTACCCATTACACCGATAACTCTACCTTTTACTGTAAATTTTTTTTCTTTTATATTAACTTATTTCAGGAATGATTACAGCTGATCAATAGGAGAACATGTTAGTATTCCGATACTTATAACTTGTGGGTTTTTTCATGTTCAACCAGCTTGTTTTTTTTTCTTCATGGCTGTTGAATTGTCAGTTTTGGGTGATCAGCTCAAAAAGAAAGATTTAGTATCAAACAAAAAACAAAACAAAACAGAAGACAGTAAGAAAAGCTGTGTTTAATATTTAATAATAACCTTCTCAGTACTTGCTTTGCCCCAATCCTTTTGAAAATAAACCCTCCACAAAACAAACAACATCCTGTTACAGGTTTGATGTGTCTACATGCGTTATCATAATCGAAGCTGCGCTCTTAAAACCAAACAGGAAGAAAGGGGTTGTGAATGTTATCAGAAACCTTTACTGCATCATAAGCAAGATAGATTTTAGGTGCAGTGTTTGCAGCGTGACGATGTAAACCCATGGAGCATCGGCTAGAGTCCAGCATTCACAGGATCCCCTGCTGCAGCTTTATTCTGCCGCAGAATCAGAAGGAACAAATAATCCGTTGATGCACTCAGGTAACCCGGTTCCTCAGGAAATGGCTGGATGTGAGTGGGTGCTGGAGGACAGCCAACAGACGTTTGCTTCAGTGCTTCACGTGGAGGAATTTGATTACACCTTTTCTTGGCAGGTTTGCTTCAGCTCTGATGCTTAAGGGTCGAACGATGCTTGGTTGGTTTTGGTTAAAACTTGTTGGACTCTGGACGGCCGGTGCTTAGCAGGTTGTTAAAGTGCAGATGAAATCCCTTAAACCTCAGAGTGTCTTTATTTCTGCATAGCTGGTGGAAATAAAAAAAACTGAACATCTCTGGTGAATTTAGACACTTTCCTACCAATTTTTTTTTACCAAGTATGGATGAAAATGTTTAAAGAAGAAAGAAAAATTGAAACTTCAGAAAGAATATTTTCAGAACAGTACAATGTTAAAAAAAAAAAAAACCCAAACAAATCTGCACACATGTACAAAAATCCCCAGGATTAAAACCAAGAATCACTGTTAAACATCTAGAGTCACTGTGGTTCTGACGGGATGCGTCGACAACCCGGATCAGAGTCCATTTAAGTGCAATCCACAGCTGAGAGCCAGACTTTGTGCTTTTTGTCCCGGCAGCCGCGCCGTCTCCCCATCAGCCACAGCAACTATAAAGCACAGCTAGTTAGTGATCAATAACCGTTAATTCCTCTAATCACAGATCGCAGCAAAACAAACATTTATGAAACCAAGACAAAAAAATAAAAATAAGGAAAATTCCCTTTCTTCCTTCCGTTGTGCTGCTGTAAGCGATGCGTTTCGGACACTTAATGCCAACACTGTAAAAACTAAAATAAACAAGCAGAACATTTTATTCCAACATCAAGAGGGAATCTGCTTTATCTCCTGGTTCATCCACTTCATCCAGCTCAGGAAGTGAATTTATGAAATTTAGATCCTTACCGATAAAATCATCTCCGTTGTTTCTCCTAAATTCAACAATTGGAGCAAAAAAAATAAAACATACAGATTTATTTGGCTGCTTTGAATCTATGAACTGGTGGAGCTAACTGGTCTCCTGTCCCAGATGATTATTTAGGAGGACAGAGATATTTGGGCAGGATTTATTTTATTCTTCTACTGAAATAGAAAAACTTTAATGTTTGTTTTTATTCCCTTTTTGCAGATATATATATTAAAAAAAATCCCCTTCACTTGTCTGGTCAGTGAACGCAGCCATGGAACAGACTCTACCCACTGCATCTGAGTGGAGGCACAGAGGAAGCTACGCTCAGTTTCCCAGAAACATTTAGAGCTTTTAAATCCTGTGGGAAAAAAATGGCGGATGGTTTATCTTAAGAACCGTGTTCCAATATAGTGATGCAATAACCGTTTTTCAGCTCTTTTAGCTGTTAAAAATCTGCCCGTTTAAGGGAGTAAAATCCCTGCAAAGAAGCCATGAAATCTCCTAAAGTTCTTTACAGGTGGAACCGATTCCTCCCAGAGATCTCTCACTTCCAGATTTCATCGACTGATCTTGTGACTCCTGTTGCAGGCGCTGCCGTTTGTCTCTTAAAACCATTTCCTTTGAAGGGTTTTAAAGGAAAGCCAGGAAGGAAGGATGCTAATGTTAGCTTAGGAGGAGCAGAGTTCAGAGCCGGTCTGTTTGTTTCATGACTCAGTGTGTCCATATGACCTCAGATCAGCGAGGGGAGGGGCTTATGTGCAGGAAGACGCTAAATGATATCCTCACTTTCATTCCAGAAAACCAGCAGAGCCTCTAAACAGAGGAACTGCGTGTAGAAAATGTTAAGACATCATCATCATGTGACAATAGGAAATAACACTTCTCTATTATAGCAGACGACTTGATTTCATGAATTTGTTGTGAAATAGTAAACAAACTACACAAATTGCTGGGGGGGGGATCTATTTCCTTTACAGCTCTACTTTTTTTTTTGCATTTCTTATTTAAGATGAAAATGAATCTCGACAAAAATTATTATTATTTTTTTTTATCTTTTATGTTTTTCCCTGAAAGAAACTCTCCTATCAGCAGCTCCTCTAGAAAATGCTTTTCCTTTCATCTCCACAGAACTCCACCCATGAGGTAACGCTACGTCCAAATTCCAGGAATTCCCAGGACGGTGAGTCTTAGAGAGACACAGAAACAAACATGGCAGCAAAAACAGCTGAGTAATGATCCAACCGGCACCGCATAGGAAACCGTGCGAAGTGCAGTTTACTGACGACATCCATGTGTTCTGAGACGAACCAACCCTTTCCTTTGTTTTTAAAGAGTTTCTTCTAACTGAAACATGGCTGCCTGACAGCGGCCTGCTGGTCATGATGCAGTCAGAGCCGCATGGAAGCATGAAGCAAACCCTCACAGAGGAATGGCTTTCTAAACGATCCTCATATGGAGTTAATTTAGTTTCATTAATGTTGTAGGCAAACTACATGCTTTGTAATTTAAGATAAAAAAATAATAAAACAAAAATCTAAATAAATCCAGAAAAAAAAAAAAAAAAAATCAAGGTTTGCTTTTATTTAAATTAATGTTTTTATTTTATTTTCTCAATTTCTTTTCATTCATTTTTAAAATAGAATTTTACTAATTGTTTTTTTATATGGTAAACGTTTAAATTCCTTTTTATATTTTGTTTTCAAATTTTTTGTACATTATTGTTTTTTTAAATTGTGTTATTTTATTTTTCAAATGGTATAATCTTCAAATTTTATTAAATACTTTTTTAAATAGTTTTTCAAACTATTCTTTCAAATTCTTTTGATGTTATATTTTTTTCCTTCTTATATTCCTATATGTAATCTGTAAGGTGCAATTTGAAAAGATTGCGATTTGTAAAGCTTAATCTTCAAAAGACAAATTTAAAATTATAAACATTTCTAATATTATTTGTTTAAAAAATGTGGGGGAAAAAACAAGTTTATAGAATAAAAAAAAGAAAAGTCGGAAGAAATCTGAGAAAACAGAAAAATTATTCAAATCCTTTTGTTGGAGAAGAATTGAAAAGATTTTCTGGATTGCCTTATTTTTATTTCTGTTCTTTTTACTCCATATAATGACCCATTTCTTTCTTTTTATAATCTGCTTTCTTTTGTAGAGTAATGCATGTCAGAGAAAACCTATCATGAAATCCCTGTTGTTATTTTTTTTGCTTGGTTTACAGATAATCTCTCCCTTTCTGGAAGCAGAGCTCTGTTTTCTAGAAGGCACTCTGTGGCCGTACAGATGGAGGCCGGAGTTAGTTTTTAGGACCACTGAGGAAACTCACTGTTAGATGAGCTTTAGCTGATTTGTCATAAGCAACTGCATTAGTTCAACTAGAACATCTCTAGGTTTAGAGTAATATCTACATTTTGTTAATTATTAAAGAAAACATTGTATGCAGGAGAGAGCTACAAAAATAGAGTAGAAAAATGTGAGAATATAAAGCAAGTCAGACGGGACAAAACTTCTGACTGTTATCACCGTGATTCATTTCTGTGACCTTGATTCACAGAAATGAAATAAAAATGAGCGGAGGAGGAAGAGGTTGGGGGACAGCGCAGGTTAGCACCTGTGCTTTGTAGTGAATAACTGCAGCCTGGTCAGGAGGCATGAGAATGAGCTGGACTGAGCAGATGATGCAGTCAGAGTTCTGCCGGTGATCCAGTTCATTCCTCGTTTCACTGATGAATTTACGTTTCAGGAAATTCCTCATTTGGGTTCATAGAAAGGAAAATATCCACTGAAGAGGAGAAAACAATCCTCCCTGATCTGGATTCAATCAGAGAAACGAGGTGAAATAGAAAAAAATAAATCAACTGACATCATGAGAGGAGAGGATTTGCTCCTGAGTGCAGAGACGGGGCGAGTCCTCCGGAGGTTCAGGCGTTTCTCAGTCACTGCTGTCGTCTTCGTCCTCGTCGTCTGACAGGGTGTTGTTGTTGAAGTTGGCACCCGGCCGGGTGATGGAGTCGGAGCGCGGCCCCAGGCTTCCCGACAGCATCGCGTAGCAGTGCTCGCACACGCGCACGGGCTTGGAGGACTGACTGGGCAGGAGGAACTTCTTGTCCGAGCACGGCCCGCAGACCACGTAGCCGCACTTCCTGCAGTGGTGGCGGCGGCTGACCGCCGTGAACTTCACCTTCTTGCAGCGCATGCACACGGTCGCCTCCGAGTCAGGCACCCAGACGGCAGCGTGCTCGCCCGTCGGAGATTTGCCGCTCTTCTGCAGCAGTTCTCTCACGCACTTCCCGATGTGGTTCATCCATTCGGATTTCTCCGTGGCGGTGGCGGCGTAGACGGCGAAGGACTTAGTGGGGGTCTTGATCAGCCAGCCGTTCCGTAGCTCGCCCTCGTCCGGCACCGTGTCGATGGTGACACTCTCCAGGGGGATGATGTGCTGTTTGTTGTACTTCTTCTTCTGGATGACGATGTTTCCGTAAACCAGGATGTCGTTGAAGAGGAAAAACTGCCGCGCTTTGGGCTTCTTGCGGCAGAGTTTGGTGAGGACGCCCTCTCCGATTAGAACTCGACCCGGGATGGCCAGCGGCTGGCCTGCAGCTCCAAAGCAGCTCTCCACCAACCCAATCCGCTTGGAGTTGGCCTCGCTGTTGGCAAGCCGGTCCACCATCTTCACCTCGCCTGCAGAGAAACAGCGTCAGAACTTTACCAACAGAAATCAATCCAGTCGCCAAAACAAGATTATTGAAACTTCTATGCTTTCTTTATGGCTTTAGAGATTTATAAAATGCAGACAAATGTTTTGCAAACTTTACGGTAATTTTCTGGATAAACGATCAGCTTCCTGACCCACTCGGTTGGGGTCTCCCTCAGACCGCTGTGACTGCAGCGCACATGGCCAATTTTAAAAAGAAGAAAAATGTGTGCATTCGTCTCTCCTTTATGCTACGTTCACACCTAGAGCAGCACCAGGAGCAGCTAGTTTACATGCAAAGTCAATGGTTGACGCACATCAAGGTGCAGCAAAAGGTCCTGCAGCACGTTTTGTGCAGCAGGAGCAGCGCTTTGTGAGCTTCTGAGGATCTGACGCACGGGACGAGCTGCAAACGCAGCAGCTGCTAGGGTTGGAAAAATTGAACTTTTGCTGCTCGACGTGCCACATCAACCAGAGAGAGAGACACAAGATGATACAGATCACTATATGATCACTCCTCTGAAACAGTTTATTGACACCTAAATTAACTTAAAATACCGAAATCTGCCTGCAAAACATGTTCACTTATAGAGACGACCGGGCCAGAGGCTGCTGTTGAATGGGATTCCTAGTGACAGCGCACCGGCAGTATGTGGGGGTCTGAGCGGCTCCAGGGTTCCTACAGCATAAGGCAAGTTAAATTCAAGACTTTTTAAGACTTTTTAATGCCACTTGAAATAAAAATTTAAGACCAAATTCACAAGAAACACAAGAAAAACCTGCTTGCGACAACTTAACCCAAAGGTTTATTCTAACATAAACCACTGCACTAATGTTTCAAATTTTGAAAAACTTCCCATACAGGAAGAAAGCTAAAAACACACAAATGACAGATATATTTTAACAATTATTTAACTGAATTCACAAACTTTGTTTTAGCAGGGAACAAAACAAATCAGTTTTAAAGCCATAAGTCTTTTTTGCAGCTATTTTTCTTTGTATCGTTTTCTTAGTATGTTTGATTTGGTGAGAAGTGGAGGCGTTGCAGAGGCAAGGGTGGAACTAAACTGAGAAATACCGGCTGTTTGTCGGTAACTCCATTTTGACGCTTTGTGTTTCGTGCTTCGCATGTGCGACTCCACTGCCTTAATTCCCATCGTTCTGAGCTTGAATCGCTTCTTGCACAAAATCCACTGAGCCTCATGTATGTTCCCTGGTTTTAGCCATGGAGAAAACTCTTGGCTGGAGACAATTTTGGTTACATTTACACTTGCTCATATTTTCCAGACAAAAAGGTTAATGGTGCATCTCCCAAATGTCCCGGCCGCAACAACGCTGTTATTGGTTACGCTATCGGGATGGAACCAATAATGGCGAGCCGTTATTTTTTTTAAATAATAAAAACAAAAATTGTCAATTTTAATGTTTTATTTAGATTACAAAAATAAATCGTAATAAAAATAATCCTATTTATGACGTTTTAATAATTAAGACCTACGAAAGACTGATTCAAGACATTTTAATACCAATTAAGGCCTTAGTTTTATTTTGAAGAATTCAATGCCTTTTAAGACTTTTTAAGGACGCGCGGGAAACATGGGCTCTGACAGCGAAATCATTTTTGAAGGCAGGATGGTAATCTGGATGAACTGACTGCACTGATGAAGTTTTCAGGTGGACTTTCTCACTTAAAAAACATATTAAAACTACTTTTAACCCACTAATGACAGCATATATAGCTGCCATTGTTACAGGCAAAGAAAGGATAGGTTAGCTCCGCCCAACGAGCACCAGACCGACTTACCATCGCGCAGCTAAAGCAGCAAAGTTGCTTCAGGCGTGTGTCAGAACTAAACTTGTACAAGCATCAAAAATGAAGCAGCACGCACATTTTTGCTGCTCTTGCCGCTTGCGGCCTGAACGTAGCATTATAGTTAAACAGTAGCTCAAGCAAAGTGTTCAATTCAAAAAGAGGAGAAGCACCTTTATCTGAAATTAAACTACTAAACACCTTAAAAAAAAAATTAGCCGACTTATCAGAAAGTCATATCAAAACAGAGAGGCGGCTGGCAACTATTAGCCCAAGACTTCAGCGATGTTCTTTGGTAAAGATCTACAGAGGAAAAAGGCAAGATCAAAGAACACTTTTTGTTTCAGTCTTTGAGTTTTTTTTTTAAATGAGCTTTAGATTTTTACCAGATTTAGGTTGAGATGTCAAAAGATTAAAGCAGAGAAAAAAGCAGAGGTTAGCCAGACGTTTTTTCATTACCGATACGAACCAAAAATTGCAGCTATATGGGATATTGACCCCGTTTGTTTATCATCACAAATTATACTTCAACTATTTTGTAGAGAGAAATATTAGAAAATACTTCTTTTTATCACTAACCAGTAGATTACAGAAACGGATAGAAGCGGAGTGTTTCCATTGGACCAACTTCGGATATCGTTTTCAGATCGGGACACCTCTACCAGCTTCTGCATTACAGATTTCTCTATAGGAATTCTCCTTAAACTAAAGCAAATATGCATTAATGATTTTTTTTCCCACTACTAAAGAAGATCGATCATCCATTAAAATTGGAGAAAATCATAAGGGCAGATCTATTTCAGCTATGACTAATTTAATTTAGGTTAAAAATCTCTTGAACTGCAGGAGAGTTTACCTCTTTCTAAGCATCTGTCTTTGATTTAATAGATAGCATCATTTTTAACTCTTACGGTTGATATTTGTTTTCAGGATGGAATTGTCATTTTAACAATTCATTTACCTATACTAATCCAAAGGTGCCTTTGGGGATATACATGTGTACAGTCATAAATACAGGGTTCTAATTAACACCCTCCACTTGCCAAATGTGACGAAATTTTTCATCTGGCGATTAATGCCAGAGCAGAGGTCGCCGCAAGGCGAGTAAATGTTTGGACCACAGTTGCACTTCAGTCACGTTCCTCTCATCTTCTATTTTAGTAAGTCTCCCACAGCTGCTGAATGCCATGTAGAAATGAGGGATACAGGGACGGCTGATGAAATTGGCCGTTTTCTGTAATTAAAACGATGTATGATATCTTTTTTTTTTTCCTTTCTTATTGTTATTCTTTTTTTTATTAATTTTTATTCCTAATGCACATTTTCCTCCTTTGTTTGCACCTTCTTTAATTACTATGCCAATATGTGACCAGTGAATTTCTCCGCTGTGAGATCAATAAAGCTCATCTAATCTAATCTAATCTAAAAAGTATTTTTATTAACCAATTATTGGATATTATGCTGTTAAATCTGTTAAGGTCAGTTTACTAACAGACAGAGACGGCAAAAGTACTCACTTTCCGTACTTGAGTAAAAGTACAGATACTTGTGTTAAAAAATACTCTGGTAAAAGTGGAAGTACTGATTAAACTTCTTTACTCAAGTAAAAGTAACAAAGTACAGGCTTGTAAATTTACTTAAAGTATAAAAGTAAAAGTAGAAACCACTTTTTTCATGCCGTTGCCTACATTTTAAATGGATGTCTGCCAATAGGATTAGATCTCCGTTGTGTTCATTTTCAATCATCTCGTCGTCCATGCTACTATGCTAACGCCACCGCCACCAAGCTGCAATGATTTGCCGCCAATGAATACCGCCGAATCTGTCGATTCATCTTGTAGTGGTGCGTCAAATGCAACGTAGATTCCCATCCAATTAGATTGAATTTGGTATTAATGACGTGAAAAATAATAACGGTAACTCCATTGAAATGATTCAAAACTAAAGTAACGAGCCAATTTTTTAAAATGTAAGGAGTAGAAAGTACAAATATTTCCGTAAAAATGTAAGGAGTAGAAGTAAAAAGTCGCCATAAAAATAAGTAGTAAAGTAAAGTAAAAATATCAGAAAAATCTACTTGAGTACAGTAACGAAGTATTTGTACTTCGTTACTTCCCATTTCTGATAACAGATTTACTTTTTTAACCAACCAGGGTCACAAAACGTTTATTCCTGCTGGGGCCGCAAGGGCTGCTGGTGCCAATCTCCAGCTGTCTACGGGCGAGAGGCCAACATAGAGACACACAGGAAAAACAACTATTCACACACACTCACACCTAAGGAGAATTTAGAGAAGCCAATTAACCTAACAGTCATGTTTTTGGACTGTGGGAGGAAGCTGGAGTACCTGGAGAGAACCCATGCATGCTCAGGGAGAACATGCAAACTCCATGCAGTAAACCCTGGGGTAGGAATCAAACCCGGAACCTTCTTCCTGCAAGGCAGCAGTGCCACCCACTGCCTCGCTGTGCAGCCCATCCATAACAAAATGACACAAAATGCAAATAATAAAAAAAATAAAATGCAAACACAGCATATTAGTATTAAGCAGCCAACAACAAAGACTGAAGGGCTGGTTATCCTCCTGCAGCAGTGTGTCGCAGTGAGCTTGCTGCAGATATTTTTGATTTATGCATTAATATTGAAGCGTGGGCTGTGCTGTTATTCCACACCAAGGGCTGGGTAAAATCGATTTTGAATCGATTCCTTTACATTTTTGCAAAATCGATGTCTAGGGAATGAGATCGCTTCATTTTATAGTGACGTTCACATTTAAATAAGCAGGAAAGATGCACTCAAGATGACTTCAAGCCAGACAGCTGCAAATATAGCCAATAGCTTGACTGAAGACATTAACAAATGGGGGCTGACCAGCAAACACCCTGTAGCTGTTACAGACAACGCTGCAAATATGGTTTGTGCATTGAAGATAATGCAGCTCATGCATGTCTGCCGTGTCACGTCTGCTCGCTCTAGTGAGGCTTCACTTTTTCGCTTTTCACAAACAAGTTTGCACTTTTGAGACAGTTTAGTTCACATCTCATGTTTAAACTGTCTGATTTTCAAATTTGCACTTTGTGTTTAATGTGACAGGAAAAAACAAAATACATGAGTATTTTGAAACACAGTTAAACCACTTTTATTATTGTAAAAACAGATTGAATCGAAATTAATCGA